GCTGCCGCCTAGTAGTCCCCTGTCACAAAGGGATGCCACGGCTTACCGATCTGTCTGTCAAAACCAAAGATGTCTGGGAAATCCCTCGAGAATCCCTGCAGTTGATCAAGAGACTGGGAAATGGGCAGTTTGGGGAAGTATGGATGGGTATGCTGAGACTCAATTACTCTTTGATTAGCTTCCCCGTTTGGGAAATCCCAAACCTCAAAGATGGAAGGTGAAGATAAAGGTATCTTTCATGAGCAGGAAGACAGACAATTTGAATTACTCAATTTTCATTTTTTTAAAAAAAAATTGGAATTTCTCCAAAAGATAGAACTGAGCAAGAGTGACAGATGGCTCGGGCTGTGCTCTGGCTGGTGGAAGGGCTGTTCAGCCTGCGTAGAGTGTACCCCGTAGAGCCAGAAGCTGATACTGCCGAGCGTTGGCCTCAGGGCAGTCACCTTCCATCTTTCCTAGTGCATGCATGATTATGGATTATAAGGACTGTGTTTTCTTTATTAATTCCCTTTCCTGTAGAGAAAGCTGATGGTTTGTGTTTTAACTTAACTGTGATTTCATCAAGTTGTACCCCACAAACTTCTGGATTGGCTAAAGATGCTTGGGAAGTTGCACGTGGCTCGTTGTCTCTGGAGAAGAAGCTGGGGCAGGGGTGTTTCGCTGAAGTGTGGCTTGGTAAGGCAGAGGGCACATTCTGTTTTGGCAACATCTCAGAGCCGGTGAAAAGAACAGTTTTGAACAGAGACGTGTACGTGACCATTGGGACAAAGCTTCTTAACCTGTGTCACTAGATGGGCCTCGGGCCCGGGTTTGCTGACTGTGGTGGCACCTTGCTGTGTTCATCTGTCCTGTTTCATTTGGTTCATTAAGCACCTGCACACCAGAAACCAGCACGCTGGGAATGTGGTGATTTCTCGCCCTGTTAAATGGGACGGTAAGATGCTGGGGGCGACAGTGGTAGACTAAGGTCACGGGCTTTCTGTGTGCCAGGCCTGGGTCTAAACCCTTGCTGGATGATGAAGCATAAGCATGGGGCCTGTTTAACACCTCTGAGCCTCAGTTCCTCATCTGTAAGCCTGAAGTTACAGCTGCTTCATTGGATTGTTCTGAGGATTTTATCAGGCGTGTTTAAAACCCCTTGTAGATCTTTGATTCATGCACACCTTTCTTCACTTGGTTGTCAGTAATGCCAACGGCACTGGCCCTTGAAATGGCCTCTCTCGTTCTCTGGGTCAGCTGCAGCCTTCCTTACAGACAATCCATAGACTTAGATCCCTCCCAAAAGCATCTGTCCATCAAATGATGACAAAGTGTTGGAATCTCCCTTCCTTGGAGTCTAAAAGGGTATAAACAGGTACATGTGTTCTTCAGATATGATCCACAGGAAGAGAGTTGACGTAATCAAATGTTTGAAGTACAGCAGGTCCCATGCAGACTCAGAAACAGATGCACACATGGACAGTGGAAGTGGACAGCCATGCATGTATATGTGTCATCGATTGTCCATATTATCATAGTGGTCACATTAATGCGCCCATCCCCGTCTAGACTTTAGCTCAAGGGTTATAAAATCTGCTTATACATCTTGTATCTCATTATCTACCCAACTTATAATTGAAGTTGTTAAGTCCTGAGGATTTTCATCAGATCACACAATCAGGAAGAATGGCATCCCATAAGAATTTTATCTTCAAACTTTTGAAGCTGTCAACTTTAAATCATCATTACACAGAGCACCAAGGTGTTGTTTCCCATGGAGCGGAAGAGCTGGGATAGAAGCCTAGACAGTTACCCGAGCTGCTAAGAGAAGAAGACCACACTCTGCTTAAATTGGAAACCGTTAGCAGTTAAATCACAGAGGCGATTTAAAAGTTGTCAAAGTTCCCATTTACACTGAGTGGCGGGTATTTTCTGAGATAATTGAACCCCTAAGCCACTGGCACTTTCATAGGTTCCCCCCACCCCCCGTAGAATGCATGTTGTAATTGTATGTTTCAACAGAATAATAAATACTTCGATATACAGGCTCCTTAGATCTGATAGTCAGAATACATTTGAGTCAGTCATGGTTTGAACCCACGTTGCCTTTCAGATTGTAAGCAATATAATCTGAATTAGCAGATTTTTATTTTCCCTTTATAAAATTATTCTTCAAAGTCATCAGCTAAAAATGGAGTAAGCCAGAATTTTTTCTTTTTATTTGAGAACCAAAAGAGAACGAAAAGCTACCAGTCCATTCCCGTATTTTACAGATGAGCTAACTGATGACCATAAGCCGGGCCTCACCTTTGGGTTAGCTAGATTTTTACAGAAGTATTTAAACACTTATTCTGCACTCCACCTGCTAGAAGCCGTTGTTCTTGGGGCTGACTCGCCAGAAGCCTGAGGGATTTGCCTCATCTGGGGAAGTATGGGCAAGGAGACAGTGTGTCCCTTGCCTGTGCTTGTGGGCTCATTTAGCATGATTGCTGAAGGACTCTGTCAGGTAACTCATCAGTGCACACAGTTGAAAGCCTGAAACTGATTTCCAGGCATCCTCGGTGTGTGGCCTTATTTCTATGGGAGCACACCCTCTAAGATGGAATTTAATCTAATTTCTTCCAGGCTTTTCCTGTTATCTAGGGGACAGCTACTGGATACCCAGGCCAATTCTGAATCCTAGGCTTTTACCACTGAAATAAGAGCCCAAAGTTTTGTGGTGTAAATGCACAGTTATGTGGATGAGCCATAAAAAGTGATGTCTATCTAGCGGGACAAGTTAATGAATTATAAAATCTATAAGTAAACTCATTTTTTCCTGTTGAAATACATGACAGAGTCCTTTGTGGTTGTCTTTGCTTGGAAAAAAAAAAACATCTAAGATTTTTTTTAAAACTAAAAGTCTAATTTTCTGCACATAGTTGCTGATCAAAATTATTTTTCCCGTGAAAAGAGTATCCTCGGTTTGACTTACTGCTGTGGGCTATTTGTAGGTACCTGGAATGGGAACACAAAAGTAGCCATAAAGACTCTTAAGCCGGGCACGATGTCTCCAGAATCCTTCCTGGAGGAAGCACAGATCATGAAGAAGCTGAAACACGACAAGCTGGTGCAGCTCTATGCCGTTGTATCTGAGGAGCCCATTTACATCGTCACGGAGTACATGAATAAAGGTTGGGCAGCCCTCTCCTCCTCCCTCCTCACGCCGGCTGGCAGGTTGCAGGGACTGTTCAGAGACAGAAACGGGGCTGCCCGCTTACTCAGCCCCCAGTCTCTACCTGGACCGTGGATTCCCATCAGGAGGTGCCGGCTGTGCTCCCTCAGGATAATGCTTAGGAAAGGGGGAGCTTTTTCTGCCCCCAGAGTCTTGAGAAGTACAGTGCCTTTTGCCTGTTACTCATCAGGAGCGTTCTTCCTCATAAGTAAAACATCCATTTTATATCAGAGCTAATGTACAGGGCTACAAAACCTGCTGCCATTTTGAATCAGTGGCTTCTGTTAAATTTCCCTTTTTAGGGCTAAATAATCAATAGCAGATGGTTGCTGGGTTAGTTCAGGCTCCGGATCAACATCTTTCCCCCAGTTTTCTCTTTAAATGTCAGGTGAAGAAATAACATGCAGTCATCCCCGCCTCCCGAACATTCGTGCGTTGGTGCACACGTGTGCATGTGTACGTCGTTATAATCAGACCAGCATTGTTGGGGATGAAGCCAGAGAGTACTTTGTTTTGGAAAAATAAATGAGCCAAACAAGAAACAGCCTTAAAAGGCCGTGCATTGTACATTAGGAGACACCAGTGTAGTTTTTCTTTTCTATGTACTTTCCCTTAAAATATAATTGGAATTTTTTTTTTCCTGGCAGATTGTTTGCCCTTTGGATCCAGGGTTATTTTGTACATAGCTTTGTGATTAAAGCATAAAAAAAAATAAAAAAATAAACCCTGACGACCATTATGTGCCCCCAGCTCCTGCAAATGATTATCTCCGCCCGGGTGTCGGCTCTGGACCTCCTCAGGCAGCTCACAAGCATGGCTCTGAAGCCCTGGCTGTTTGTCTCAGATGTCTGAGGCGGAGGCTCGGCTGCCTGTGATCTAATTAGGAAGCTCTCTGCCCCATATTTCTCAGACACTACATTCTCACCTTAAAACCTGAAACGAAGTCAATGATTCTAAAACTTCCTTGAACTCTGAGTCACCTTCAGGGCCTAGGGAAACGAACGTGTCTGAGTCTGACTCCAGAGTTCCTGATGCAGATGGAGCCTGAGGATAGGCTCTTCCCACTAACTCCCTGGCCACACTGCAGCTACTGGCCCAGCAGTGCATCCTCAGTGTGCTCCCCCGGGCGGTCTGTGTCCACATCACTCTCCTGTGCAGGGATGACTGGGACATGAGAGGATGGTTCGGTTCCTGATGGACTCCTCCCTTGACAGAAAAGGAGATGCTGTTCTTTTGTTACCAAACTCTGTCTTTAGAAACAAAATAATCGCTGTTTATTTTCAGATGCTAACTCTTACTACTTAAAACATAGAATTTGTTTCTTTGTTTTCATACAAGCCTTTCTTTTTCCATCAGTGGCATTGTCCCATCCCACTACCTTTTACTTACACTAAGGAAGTCAAGTACAGCCTGCAAGGAACTTTTGCCATTCTGAGTAAACTAAAATTGCTTTATGTTTCATTCATAGGAAGTTTGCTTGATTTCTTAAAAGACGGTGAAGGGAGAGCTCTGAAATTGCCAAATCTTGTCGACATGGCAGCACAGGTGGGTCATGGGGCGCCTTGATTCGGGCCGTGGCTGTATGGGCATGGACACATGAGGGGTTGTGGTGTCATAACTGTACCCCTTTCCCTGCGTCTCCACAGGTTGCCGCCGGAATGGCTTACATCGAGCGCATGAATTATATCCACAGAGATCTGCGATCAGCAAACATTCTGGTGGGTAATGGTCTCATTTGCAAGATTGCTGACTTCGGGTTGGCTCGCTTGATTGAAGACAATGAGTACACAGCAAGACAAGGTGGGCGTGCCCATGACATAGGCTCCTGATTGCATCTTTGCTCTGCGCCGCCCTTGCTCCTTACCTTCATTTCCTCCTGCTGCTCTTTTCTTCCCCTCTGGTCCGGCAGGAGATGGCAGTTCTCAGGTGGGGGACTGGTGGGTCATAGATGGGTGCAGCACTGGTTAGTGAGCTGGTGTCTACTCCCACGGTGCACCTGCCTTTCTGGAAGTATCCCTGTGCACTTGATCAAAGCGCTCTGCTTTTGGAGAAAGTAGAGTCTTGGCGGCCAGGTTCTAGCTCAGTCCCAATCAGTCGTGTCGCAGCAGGAAGCAGGTGACGCTCCGAGGAGAGACTTTAATTGCGCTCTTTTACCGTGGAACAGGCAGGTTTTCAGAGTCTGAGGGCACTGTGATGCCTCAGCGCTAATGTCAGGGCAGCCAGGGTTTAAGGTTTGCAAGGCAGCAGGAGGAGGGAGCACCCCACTGAGGGCGCCTCCTTGTGGGAGCCTGCAGAGGCCCATGGAGGCCAATCCTGACCTCACTCTGCATCTGCCTTCCATGGCCCCCAGCAAGCCAGCCTGAGCAGAGCAAGGCTTGAAGGGGAAAGAGATGGTCTGGAGGAACTGGACGGTGGAGTTCCTTGAAAAGCCCTGCTTGCTTTCTTTGTCTGCCTCCACCCAACCCTACAAAAATTAATTCATGGACAGTCTTTGTGTAAAGCACACCGAACCCAAAGCCACCCCACCCAGGTGACTGTGAGTTAGTAGAGCTGCAGGTGCAAGGAGGGAATTCCTGCGGGTGGTTTCTGCCTTGCTGGTTGCTCTTATGTCCAGGTGTGGGACTAAGTGAGGAACCAGCAGCTGCAACGGCTTCTGTGCATTTGATGCCAGGACTCAGCAGAGGGTGATGGTCACTGGTGAGGTTCACTTGGCCACTCTGAGCAGTAACTGCAATATACTGTAGGGTGCTGCTTTCAGAACGAATCGTAGCCATTTCACTCCTTTCTAGAACATTCTCTTCCTAGTTCTCTTTCCTTTTTTTTTTTTTAATGCCAATTCTTCCCTTCTTTTCTTTGACTCAGAACAGAAGTCTGATGAGTGCTAAGGGAAATGTCAAACCTAGCCCCTGCTGGGTTACAGATACTGCCCAAATGCTCCACTTCACGTTGAGCAAACAGCTCAGCTATTTGAACTCCTCCACTATGTGGCATGTCTTGTCCTGGAGCCTTATACTCACACAGCAAGCCGCTCAGGATCATGTAGAGTGGGACATGTACACAGACGCACACCCAGAGTCGGACAGAGTAGGACTGTGTCTCTAAGCAGAGGGGGACATGCAGACACGAGTTTGGGGACATGCAGGCACGAGTTTGGTGACATGCAGACGTGAGTTTGGTGACATGCAGGCACGAGTTTGGTGGCATGGGATGCCAAGAGGCTCTCAGTGAATGTGAGCAGAGCCCTAGAATAAGTGAAGGTTGACAACCTGAATTCTTGATTTAGAAAAGGACTCCCTGAAGATTTAACTTAGGACATGGCTCTAGTAGAAGCCAGGAACATTCTTCTGTGTGAGAGAAAGTCTCGGTGGCAGGAGGAGAGCCCTGCAAGGCTGTTTTCTCATTCTTAACCAGACTTTGGACTCTGCAAAGGAGCCACAGATGCTAACAGAGGCACTGTTGGAAGGGCTTGGGTGTGGAAGTCGTGCACCGTTCATTAAGGTGCCCCAAACTGCAGCCTTAGGTGACTGGCACCTCTCATGTCAGCTTCTGCTCTGGAACCCACCCAGGACTCCCTCAGGCTGGCCATGCAGCCTCCCTTCCTACACTTCCCCGTCAGGGCTGCCTTTCTGCCCTGCCTCCCCCATCACATCCCAGCCACTGTCCGAACTCCTTCCTGAGGACTAGCCTTAATCCTTGATTTAGCATCTCCTTGACTCTATTTCCCAACAGATTCTATCTTACCTCTGCGGACATGATTTCCTCTTCCTTTCCTTTACCAAACTGAACACTGGGGAGGGATAGGTGAGGATTCAGTGGTGGAATATGGAAGGATATATGGACAGTCTGCGCTGTCTTGAAGCAGAGAACAAGGAAGGGCCAGGGCATGTGGGGAGCTGGAACTGCCTGACTTTCAAGGGGGAGGAAATAGACTCAGAAAGTCAGCAGAGGTATTTGTACAAAGTCACAAAGCTCACAAGTGGAAGAGCAGGATTTAGAAGCAGGACAGGCATGTTCTTGAACTCTGCCTACTGTCTCTCACCAAGAGCAGAGTGTAAAAATGGAGAGAATTAGTCATAAGTTCCGTTTTCCCTTTATTTTATGGAAAAAGCCCTAAGGGGCAACCTCTTAAGCTCACATGTGTCGGGGGACTAGAGAGAGTCTCATTTTCCAGCCTTGGATAGCCCAGCTGTTCCTATAACTCCTCCACTGGTTCTGCCAGGCCCTGGCCTTTCCACCGGATAGAAAGGTCCGGCATGTATTTGCGAATGTATTCTGCAGATGGCATGTGTGCCGCATGCCGACGTTCCTGCTGGGGATTAATCAGCTCCTCGAGACAGCTGGTCTGTGTGCCTAATAATATTTGCAAGTTGGGTTTTATGTCACCCGCAGGCCACAGCCGTGCCGCATCTTGATTATGGGAGTGCAGGCAGTGTTCTGAGACGTGTGCCAAATGTAGCTATTTTAGGACCATGAATGACAATTGTTTGCAAAACAGTTGTGAGCTCCCTGTCTCAGGGTGCTCTGAAGTGTCTGTCACGACGCACTGACACGCCAGGCAGCAAGGTGTGACAGCACAGGGCACGGGCACCTCTGCAGTGTGGGGCTCTGTTCCAGGTCTTGCCCGGGACGTTGCCTCCTACGAGCCCACACTCACCACCCACCTACCCTGCCTTGTGAGCAGAAGCCTGCTGTCAGAGAGGCTCAAGCCAGGCCCAGCGGCTATGACCATAATCCTCCCCTGGCAGTATTCTAGAAGCAACTAGAATCATCTGGCATTCCTCATAGTTACCTGGACATCTCACAGTTAGAGCCAGTTCCTGTTTAGTCAGAAGCTCAGCTTCATTCTGTCCATCTGGAGTCTCCGAAATAATCCACGTCAGGTATTTGAAAAGGAACTTGGCTAAAGGCTGTTATGAAGACACCCAGGCCACAGCAAAGGCTTGTATCTGTGTAGTCTCAGCTCCTGGGGCTGAGGAGTAAAGTCTCTTCGGCCCAGGAATTTGAGACTGGCCAGGGGAAGATAACAAGACTCCTAAGGAAGAAAGGAGGGAGAATATGGTAGAGGAAGGCTAAGGGCACATACGGGCAGGAGGCTAGCATGAGGAGAAGCCAGGAGCATCAGAGTCAGGCAGTGACGCCCAGCAATAACATCCACTGACGGGGGCCCCGAGGCAAGCCGTCTTATCTTCCGTGGAGGATTGCTTATCTTTAAATGAAGATGGGTCTTACCAGCTCTGTCTTTGCAGTCTCACCCAGCTCCCGCTCGTGGGAACTATAATGTCACTGTCATTACCGATCTTGTTTGCCTTACCCAGGACAGGACTTCAGGAGAATAAACAAATGGGTAGGTTTCCGCTGCCCTGGAAGGACCCAGTTACCATGCAGGGCAAAGGAAGAGTGTTGGGTCATGGTTAGGGCAGAGCTGGCAGCAGCAGCAATGCAAGAACATCTGGGCATCTTAACGTCAGAGAGGGAGCATGAGCCTGAGTTGGGATTTACTGCGTCTGTGGTGTCCTTGCTGGCGTGTCTAAACCCAGAGAGGCCCACAGGGGCTTCCTCACCTGAGCCACTGCCTCAGCTAGGTGCGCCCACTCTCATCATCTGTGGTCTCTTCTGCGTCCCCAGGGCTCTGCTGACAGGCACCCCCTCGCCCTGTTCCCTGGATCCTTCCAGAAGTTACCACAGCCCCCACCTGGGCCCAGGACAGGGAGACACACCTCTCTCTCCCATTACAGCCCCTGGGCCATCTGTTCCTTCTCACAGAAAATGAGAATTCTCCACAGACATTGTCTTTTCTGAGCTCTCAAGCTGCTGAGGGCTTGCTAATGCTAACTTGAACCTAGCACACTCAGGTAGAGCTGGCTTGTGTTTAGCAATGACTCTCTCTTGTGGGCGTGATTGTTTTTTCTTTAATTTACGTTATCCAGTAAAATGAACAAATCTGGTGTGCAACGGACTACATTTTTACATGTGTACGTAGTCCTGAAACCTCCTCACAGAGGAAGACAGACCTGACCTGTGTGCAACGAACTATATTTTTACACGTGTACGTAGTCCTGAAACCTCCTCTCAGAGGAAGACAGACCTGACCTGTGTGTAACGGACTATATTTTTACACGTGTATGTAGTCCTGAAACCTCCTCACAGAGGAAGACAGACCTGACCTGTGGAGCTTCCCCCCCAGGGAGGGCTGTTTCTGTCGCTGCAGATTCATCCTGCCTGTGTGGGAATTCCTGGAGTGTGGCTCCATGGACCCGTTTCTTCAGTAACCTACCACTTCTAGGAACGGCGTCATCTAGCCATGACATCCTGTTTGGTCTGCCCCCATCCCTTCACTATGTTGTAATCCTGTTGTTTCCTGTGACGGTTCCCAGCTTCTCACAGCAGACTAATATTCCACTGACTGAGCACACACACCACAGCTGACCCATCGCTGTACTCAGGAACAGTGGCGCTGATTGCACCTGGGACCATTACAGATGAGGCTGGTGGGTAGGGAACACACACACACACACACACACACACACACCCCGCTGCCGCCACCTCCCGGGTAGTCGCCCTGTTGGAAAGGCTGGCCATGGCAGGCCTAGACTGGCAATGGCAGCGACTGTCTCGCAGAGCAGTAACACAGATTTAAAGGGCAATGAAGTTATGTCACTTACATGGGTTAGGAGTCAGGGCCCCCAGGATTAAACCACCTCTGTCACTGAGGACCAGGGTATCCTCAAGCAAACCGGCAGCTACTGTTTGGGCCTCCTTTTCATCCTCTGTAAAATAGTAATAGTACCCATGGTAACCTCCTCTCATGAGTAGAATGAAAATGAAGTAAGCAATATATAAAAATGCTTTGAGGGTGGTAAATACGAAGAATTATTTTATAACCTTAACTTTCAGCGATTGACATGTTTTCCAAAGAAAATATTTTTATTAAACAATACTTGAAAGAGAAAAACAGTAATCAATTAAAGAAAGGAACTTGTAAGTCCATACATATACACACACAGACACACACACGTACACACACAGACAAATGGATAATAGACCGACAGATAAATAATGGTAGTGTGAGTGTGTGTGTGTGTGTGTGTGTGTGTGTATACACACATAATCATTTATCACCTAAGCCAGTCTGTTTTATGTAGACAGCCAGCACTCTGGTTCTGTCCATGTGTCCCACAAGACCATCTGTCCTGAACTCAGCTGCCACTCAACTAGCCTCTGCCATCCCTGTGTCTTGTACAGACCTTCATCCTCTCCTCCTGTTAGGACCTCTCCATGGTTGGCTGTGGTGGTGCACACCTTTAATCCCAGCATCCCAGCACTAGGGAGGCAGAGGCAGGAAAAACTCTGAGTTTGAGGCCAACCTTACATACATAGTGAGTTCCAGGAGAGCCAGGGCTATGTATAAAAACTATCTCAAAAACAAAAAACAAAGACCAGAACTATCCATGGCCCCAAGATCCAGGCATACATGTTTTTTTTTTTATTATACACACACACGCGCGCGCACACACACACACACACACACACACACACAAGCTTGCTGTGTTTGAGGTCAGATGGACATGCTGAGCAGCGTCACACGTCAGCACACCTGCACATGGATGGTTACACTCATGGACCCTGGGCAGCACTTCTTCTGGACATCCCTAAAACAGGTCTGGCTGATCCTCTGTGGGGATGCCGGCCTCTTGAACACAGTGCACACACAAGTGTCACTGTTGGTGTGTAGCAGTGGAAATAGCTGTGGTCACTGGCCTCCTCCTCACTCTTCTCAGACATGTTTTTCTGCTCACTAAGCAGTGTGCACAGGGCTTCCAGGAAATCAAGTGCTGTAATTGCTGCAAGAACCCCAGAAAGGGTAAGCTGTTCCGTCGGCATTGGCGGCACAGTATGCGCTTGTCTTTGGGGAAAGGTGGAAGGTGTTGAGCTGGGTAGGCCTGTGTTAGATGCTAACTCTACCTTCACCCGGGTCTTGGGCTTCTCTGAGCCCTTGTGTCCTCACCCCTGAGCCACCTGTCGGGTAGCTGTTGGGGTAGAAAGGACAGAAGCTACCTGGTCTCATTACTTCTCATCCTTTCCCCCACAGCACTTCCCTTTCCCCGGTTCTTTTTCCTTCTTTCTCTGTGCTCCCAGCTTCACTCCCAAAGGCTGGGGTCTGAGCCGGCTAGGAGCACGCCCTATGAAGTCCATATCATAGTATGGATCCTGGTGTCATTGCTGATCTGCTCTGGAACCTTGGATAAGTTACCCTGAGCCCGTCTTCTTTTGAAAACAGGTAGAATTGTCAGCCCAGTCTGGGCATGGACAGGAAGCACCTACCACGAAGGACTTGGTGCAGTCGGAAGTAGCATTGACAGCAGTAGTTATACAGTTGACCCTGTGGATGCAAACAGCCATGCTCAGCATGCCCACACACATGCGGTGCACTCAACCCATGCTGCACTGGGCCTGCCTCCTGCCAAGGCTCCTCCCACGTTTGATCCACATGAAGAGCATCAGCAGGGGTTTCTCTGTGACACTGGTTAGCCGGTCGGTTTGTTCTAGAACAGTAACCAGATGATCACCTAGGAAGCAGATGTCAAGACAGTGTCATCTTTGAGTCTGTGGACTATATGAACAAAACAGGGGCATTTAGAACTTTGGACAAGACCATTGGTTTGTGTATTAAGTAGGAGAAGAAAAATGTGTCTGTTCAAATACTCCCAGTATTGAGAATTTAAATTGAATAGATTATTGTCTGGAGTAAAATTCACATATAAATTAGACTACAAAGAATTCATAATTGTTACAGTTTTCATGTTCATTATTTCACGGTAAGAATTGTTACTGCATAAATTAACACATTCTTTCTTGGAGAACATATTTTAGAAAGATTTGTTACTTTAATAACTCTCTGTGTATTAGAAATCCCAGATGCCCATGCTAATTAAATATAATCAGATTTTTGGATTCAAAAAGCACAGTAGCCATTTAGCACAAACAAGCAGGCAACTAGGTTGACAAACAGAGCCAGGAATGACTGGGTCCCTGTTTCTTTTCGGTTTCCAGTTTCACAATGCAGAACTGTGATTTCAATTCCTGTCCTTCCTTTGTTACAATGACTGGGGATTATTAGACTCAGGGCTCCCGCGTTCCAGCTCAAGGGCTCCTGCAGAATTATTAATCAGCTGCTTGAGAGGCCCCTGTAATCCAGTGGCAGATCAAGGCTGATCCCACCATGAGATGCCCTCCCTCTGCTCCCTTCAGCCTATGAATTCCTTGTTCTCTATCAACAGCAGCACCGCCATCCCCACACTGTGTGCTGTGACCTGAACAGCAAATGTCAGCAGAGAGAGGCGGTGGGGAGGGCTCGGAGCCCCGTTAATTGTTGAGTTTAATCTAATTCTTTCCTTGCTGGAAAAGTGGCTCATCTCGAAACAAAAAGCAAACCTCTTCCTGATGCAAGCCATTGTTTTCGAACACTAGGCAGAAAACTCACTTGTCCTCCAGCAGAGCCACGAAAAGCCGCAGTGAAATGACCAGGCCACAGCACCCCCAAGTCCACGTGGGCAGTTTATCATCCCCAGAGCTGCCGGCGGCCATGTGCTGATCCTGGTGAGCAGAACCGAGCCATGGAGTTTGGCACACCTCTGTCAGCAGGCAGGAGTCGCCTTCATTTGTATTCTGCCTCCTCAGTCTCCAGGCTTCTTACACCAGCCTTCCTGGGAGGGTCTGCTTTGTTTATCTGCTGAAGCTCCAACCCAGATTAGTAGTCAGGGGAGCAGGTCGGATGCTGGGAAACGGAGACAGAGAACTGTTGGGAGCCTCGTTCCCTCCTAGCAAAAATGTCTTGAAAGCTGGAGGAAATGAAAGAAAGGGGACTTTAAATCATCCTTTTCTCCCCAGTTCCTTTTAAGATTAAAAATGCTTGCGGAGTGGGGGAGAACTGATTTCTGCCAATCACATCCTTAGACAGCTCTCTGAGTTGGCCCAGAGAATGCAGATGGGCCTGATGCCAGCACAGGTCACCAGAGCCGGCTCTCTGCGCACCTCCCTCTATCTGCCCAGCCCAGGGTAGCCCCGCCTCCTTCTGACAAGGGCATCTCCCTTCCCTTTGTGCTGTTCTGGGCAGGGCTGCCCGGCAGTTGTTTATGAATGGTCAGGAGCAAGTCCTGGGTCTGTGCAGCCCACGTTCCTGGGTGATCATCAGTAAGGGAGCAGATGGCCACCCTCTGTGATTTTAAAGTGTGTAAATAGGAACCGCAGGCTGCCTTCAAACATCAGAAATGTCTTTTGGCTTCCTTATTGTGCTCTGCTGGCAGAAGGGACCTTGTTTGCATCATCTGGATAACTGGGGACAGTCGGAGCACTTGCAGACTGCCTGCAGCCTCAAGCCTTTTTCTCCTCACTGAAGGAGGGTGCTGGGCCCAGCACGCTGGTCTCCCTTGGGTCCCAAAGGCATAGACTCTGCCAGATGGAAAGCAGGGGACAGTTTTGAAAGCAACCCGGAGTTGTGCTTTTCTCCCATGCGTCCCCTCTTCTTGGGCTTCTTCCTAGACTCACAACCAAGCCAGCATGATGATCCTGTCCCAGGCTGTGTCCCCAAACCAGGGCTGTCCACACTGCCTAGCTTGGTGTGGCCTGGTGTGGCCCCGGGCCCCTCTGAGGGTGGCTAACTCTGTGCTCCACCACATTCTTAACCTACTGCTGGGCCCACCAAGATTCCTCTGTGCCTCTGCTCACGGTTCAACTTTCCTGGGAGCTTGCTCACTGTTTCAGCCTAAGCGTTTCTTCCATGGATTTATCCCAACCAGAGCTCGGATCTGTGCCTAGTTAATCAGCCCGTTGCTTTGCGTCATGTTCAGGCTCAGCTTCTGGCTCCTGGTTTTACTTCTACTCCTCTCCCAAGGTCCCTGGTGAGATAGGACTCTTCCCTTAATCCTCCTCACCTTGTCAGACTCCCTACCCACTGGCATGGTGAAATTTCAAAGGGAATAATAATATAATAATAATATACCAATCCATTGTGTCTCTAGGTTTTCATTTATACTTATTCTGAAAACATGATGCTAAGCTCTTACAAGCTTAAAGTGGACATTTTAGCAGATATGTTACCGGGGTAACTGGAAACACGCCGATTATTACTGCAGAGGCATTTGAGCAATTTGCACGTCACCCCTTGGCCTGGTGTGAGAATTGCGAGTTTTCCTCTGCCAAGTTTTCCCAGGTTTGAAATTATTACTGCATTTGAATCAGTGCAGAGTTCCAGGCTGGGTCCTAACATGGGATGTCTTGGCTCGCTCTCCTTGCCTTCTCCAGCGTGGAGTCAGCTTCCTGTTCTGGCAGGGTGACTTTACAGCCAGAGGCCTACGCATTACTTAATATTGTATGTATTGATTTGCGAAGTTTGTGGCTTCATCATTGAACAGGCTTCAGATGGTTTTTTGGTTTAGAAAAGCAGGATGTGTTGTTGAAGCCCATGCTCCTCCTCCTAGGAAATGACGTTGGGCGCAGACCATGTTGTGTGGGGTCGATCTGGCATCCTTTGCCCTGTACTAGCTGTACTTCCTCCACTGGCCTGGTTCTTTAGCTGGAGGAGATCCTCTCCCTGAGACCGCACAGTGGGATTGGCACCAGAAACAGCCAGTGCTAGTGACATACGGTGGCATCTCAGGCTTGCGCTGGAAAGCCATGGTCACACTGCATCCCTTCTCTGTTGCCACCTCTCCGCCATCCTCATCCTCAGTTCACTTCTTTATCTCCTGAGCCATCTTCTTCAAGCCAGTGCCACATTTTAGCTCTCTGTAGGTTCAGACTAGGAGCTGTGTTCCTTCAGCTGTCTAGAAAACTCCTACAGGTGGTGCCCTACTCCTGATGACCTCAGAGTGCCTCCCACTGTGCTTGGGGACCTAGTGGACACTGGGGGAAATTCTCAGTGGTTGACGGATGAATGTGGGGGGTGTTCTTCCTCTCGTGGAGTTTCAAGGGTCGCCGATGCTGAGGGCCTTTGTCTGTGCAGCTGAGTGCCCTGCTCATCCATCCAAACACGGGGTAGCTGCACTCTCTTAGCTTTCCCCAGGCTCCAGACACTCTGCTGAGTTCTTTATACCTACTCCTTCCCTTGCTACAGACCAAAAACTGACTTGGGCTGTAAGCCTGAGAGCCCAGGTCTGCCTGACTCTGAAGCTTCTTTTTTCTTTCTTTCATTAAATTTCCATAACAATTTCATTAATATCTATTGAAGCTTCTTTCTGAATGGCCTTTTTTGCCCTTCTAAATAGACGACTCGCTCAGTCCCAGCTCAGCCCATCATTGAGTTTGCTGCCACTATCACTCCAGAGCATTCTCTCGGTTTCCTGGCTCTTCCTTTCACTTCCTGCAAAGGGTGACTCAGGCCAAAAGGTATCTGCATTGTTGTGTGAGCCTTAAAACACCACTGTCATTCATCATCTTGAAGCAGCCAAGTCAAGACCCTTTTCTGTCTGGGACAGAAGTGGAAGGCAGGCTTCCTGACTGGCCACCCGGCACACAGCGATTCCTTCGACCAGTCTGTGACCTGGAGTCGGCATGGGCCGTCCTGTTGTCAGTCTGGCCAGTCCTCCAGTTTTCTCTTAGAACTAAGAACATTGAGTCAGGTAGGCTGAGAGTACTGTGCGAACGAGTTCATTCCCAGCCTGAACCAGCAGTGAAAATCTGTAGTTGTAATGTCAGTACTTTCTCCGTGGTCTTTAAAAGTCTCTGTCTAAGAAGATAGCATCTTTGGCCATTGGGTGTTGGATGAATCACTGCTCACGTGGGCCTTTTTTTTTTTTTTTCTGTTAGCACATCTGTTCAGCAGGCTGTGGTCTAACGGGGTTAGTGAAAGTACTGTAGAACAGTGTAAGTGCAGACTAGGCCAACCTTAGAAGATCTACATTGTGCTAAGAGCTACACCCACCAGACAGAGCGCCACACAGTGTCAAAGTGCTCTGATTCTGGAGCCAGGCTCCTTCCGTCCAGATCCCATTTCCATCCTTTACGCGTGTTCCTCAACGCGTGTTCTCTCAGCTGAAGAACGGACATGTTGTTTACATATGTAATTCATGTGTCAGACACGTGGCACCCTTAGCAAGTACCCATTTTCTGTTGAGTAATGCTAGGAGCTCGTGTTGCCCAGCCTTACATTGTTGCTTCTGATCTCATCCCAGAAGACTCAGGAAGGATGGAGAGAGAACTTTGTCACTAGGCAAGTGGAAGGAAAGATGGCATTTCAAGCCAGCTAGTACAGCAGAAGGAAGTGTAACAGGTGTGGGGTACCTGTTACAGGAAGGCAAAGCAAACTGAGCCGGATTAACTGTATGCTTGCAGTGGGGAGAACCAGAGTTGAATAGATGTGTGGGTCCCTGGGAACCAGATGGTGGATTTTGATTCAACTCAGCAGGGACCTCCTGTGTGGTGGAAGAAGGTGGGACAGGAAGCTGCAGTTTAAAAGGATTTAACTGGAAGGGCACTCAGCTGAGGCTCAGTACCAGGGCAAGAGGACTTAGCAGACGTGATGGCTGGAGTCTGACTTTGGCGATGAGCTTAAGCAGGAGAGAGGGATTTTGAGAAAGATGTCAAAGAACAAAGCAAGAGGCTGACATCAACAGCAAGATGATGGATTAGATCGAGAAACAGCAAGAAGGGAAAAAGTCCCAACTACCCTTGTTTTTTTTTTTTTTTTTTGTCCCAAAGCCTGGCAACATAGTGATCGACCCCCAGAAGGTGGAGGGTAAAAAAACAAAACCAAACGGAGGGAGATTCTGTTTGTATCGTAGATTTGCAAAGTAAGAATTAAGAGTTAACTTATAACTCAGTCATTTGGTGAAATGTCCTGCCTACTTCAGGAATCTCCTGCAGTCTCACGTGTACTGAGGTATAAGACAATACCGTGAAAAGCAAACTCAGCCTACAGTTGCTGTATTTCCTGTAAATCCGGTTCCACCTAGAAACCTTGTCCCGTAGCTATTTGGAAGTAAAGAACCAAGAATCCAAATAAGAAACATCTGAATGCGCCCACCCCCTCCCACAGGCAGCAGGCCACGTTGGTAACAAGAGAGAGGGAGATTTCCAAAGGAACAACGGAGAGGAGAGTGTGGGTCTCAGGGCCCTGCGACACTGTGGTTAGACCGTGAGCAAGGAACAGGGGACACTGGGGACCAAAGAAAGACAGAGGCAGGAAGGAGGCTGCATTTGCTGCCCTGAGGAGAACCGGGTGCTCTCTGTGGGGAAACTCTAGACCTGCTTATGGCAGGAAGGAGAGAGAGCAGACCACCTCAGCAGTGGTGGGGGTGGGGTGGTTGTTCTTACAGACAAACTTGGATAATTGAATAGAACCCACACTTTCCTGTCTCTGACTTAAAAGCATAGGTGATTATCAACCCTGGTTCAGATGAAAAGGGCAAGCAACCCCTGAAACCGGAAATGACTGCTGCCCACTTTGCCTTGCTGGACCACTCCGAGGCTCTTGTTCCCTGTCTAATAAAACCGCTGCCCGTTGCAGCAGCATCTGGTGCACTGGCCCCACATCCTTATCAAAGCAGAGCTGGGGCTCCCTCTACATCCCAGATTCACTCCGAGTACCCTGTCTTTAAGGATGTTTAACTTTCACTGGTGTGTGGCAGGTGCTTTTCTGTTGTAGTTAGCAGTTGTCAGGCCTTAAACAGCTATCCAGATGCTGACACCAGGAACAAGGGGAAGATGCCCCAGAGGTAGGAGACCCAATCAGTTGCCTGTAAGAAACCATGGCCAGTCAGCGTGAAGTGGGGGAGGAGCGCTGGAAGCCTAATCCACTGCCCAGCTTCTCTGTCATCCGGTTGGTTCTCCCAGGAGTCTCCTGTTCACCAACATCCCAGGCTCCGAGCTGGAGACAGTCTTCCAGACTACATACCCAGTCCTCAGGGCAGCCCCTCTGTCAAGAGGTGACACTTCTGACAGCCCATGCATTCATCAGACTTTAAGCCATGACAGCTCCAAACCCAGGTTGCTGTGGCAGCCTGGAGCTGGGGACCTG